AACACCCGAATCTTCAAGGGAATTGCTGCATCATCACGTGTTACATCTTATCGAATCGGTTGCGCAATCGCAAGCTGGCTATCCGCAGCTCAGAAAGTTGGCAGGCAAGAGACCAAGGCCTGGATGGAAACTTTGAAAAGCAGGTTAATCTCTTCCCCTAGACAGAGTCTGCTACAGGGCAACTGAATGTGGATGCAAACATCCCTGCGGTTCTGCACTTGGGGTTCTACTATGTCAATTTGCTTCTTCAAGACCTGTTTCAGTTCATCTCCACCCAGTTTCATCGTGGGATGTTTGTGCAGGGGTTCACTCCTTTCCTTTTCCTTTTCTTTTTTTGGAATCTCGCATTTGGGTTCCCCACCTCCGTGTATGTGTACTTTCTGGGTTGTTGCCACTTTCCTTTTTAATTTATATCATCCTTAACAAAAAAAAAACCATGTCATTACTGTTCCTTACGAAAATCTAATCTTCTAATCTATTAAAGCGCAAGTAATTAAACCATGTCATTGCTGTTCCTTACGAAAATGACGGAAAACTCCGGATTGATGGCATAAAGGATTACTGTTCACTCGGGTTTCTTTCTACTGCGGCGACCCACATTATCTCTTGCGTGCGCCCTATTAACTTACTCACGTCAGCTATATTCTCTCCGACTCCTGCTACTTTCCCTTCCCACCTTCTCCCAACTCTGGCGGCTGATCAAGCTTATTATAATTCCCCGCCTGCGTTGGGTACGTAATTAGTTGCCTGCCTTCAACTTCTCTTCCGTTCCATCCTTTGTTTCTATACTTCTTCTTCAATCAAATTCTTCTGAAGTTTTTATCAGCCGCCTTTGGTTTGTTGTCTTCAGTTCACAATCAAAAGGACTGATTGATTGATTTAGGATACGTGAGGTCCACAAATAATGGAATTCTACTGTTTGGTTTAGTCCTTTGTTGTCATGCAATTGATTGGTACATGGGCAGCTTCTTTTACTTCCAATCTAATTCAGTTACGACAATGCTTTGTTTGTTGTTGTTATTAACTTATTAGCTTCGCATTGAAGTTCATACCAAAGATTGGGAAACCTAATTGTAGGTTGTATTGGAAAAGTCACAAAATGCTATTTTTAATCATAATTTCAATACAAAATCAATAGGTAATTTACTAATTTTTAACCACAATTTCAATACAATATATTTACACTTAGATGTCTTTATTTTGGTGCCAGACATCCTCTAATGAGAAAATGAATGATCATAGCAAATCCAAAACAACTTATTGGATCTAAGTAAAGGTTCAAACTGAATTTAAAATGAGACTCACCAACCAATCAAGACTTCGTTAACAATCAAGACTTGGTTAACAATGCCATCTGTTCATTTTGAGATAATAATGAACATCGTTGTTGAGCACATAATTTTTTATTTTTTCATTAGAGTTACAAAATTTTTATTATATTATATATATATATATATATCCGCTAATTATGAGCAAGGCTAGGTTGCAATAACATGTGCACTTTAGTGTGAATTAAGGCCTTGCTTAATTTTGCAAATAGTTGTCCATTCAAAGTTTGGTTTCTATTTGTTAACCGTGGGTTCGACATAAGTCCTCTTTAAAGTTTGACCTTGAAGAAATAAGGGAACCACGACAGCTGGAAAATGGGATCCAAGAGACTTGACTCATCGAAAATCCGTTATGGCAACTTAAAACTTATGAAGATGAGCATAAGTATGATCACACTTTTGTGTTCCCCAAATTTGCCAATGACTGACTATCTATGGAGGGGTGGGTTAATAATTCTAAGGGTAAATATAATATATTAGCCACAACTATTATGAAGCGGTGAATTATAATCACAACTATGGAAATTCAAATTATTTTTTTTTAAGGATGATATAAATTTTATTAATCGAAAAAGAAAAGAAAAGAAAAGAGGCAGAAGTCCTCCTACAGTCGCCTGTCCACAAAGCAAAACAGGCAGCAGAAAAAAAGCGAAAAGGGGAGAGAACAAAGGACAAAGGACAAAGTCCACCAAGTCTAGCTTATGTTTTCCTCACAACATTATTCCAGTGAGAAGATGGCGGGGATTGACAACCCAACGGCACACCCAGGTAAGTTGTAGGAAGGAAAGCCCAATCACAACCAAAAACTTCAACCAACATTTCCATGTTAGCAACTTCACCAACCGGGTAGAGCTTCATTTTGTCAAGATTAACCTATAACCTAGTAATCTCTTGGAAACAAACTAGGGCAGCCAAGATGTTCCTCACTTCCAATTCAGTTGCTTCGCAGAAAAGAATTGCATCGTCGGCATAGAGTAGATGAGTGACCTCTCCTCTACGATTTGCTTCATCAACACAAAACCCAGAAATATGCCCCGCGCTGTTGATTTCACATAAAATGAAGGAGAGAATGTCAATACCGATATTGAAAAGGAGAGGCGAGAGCGAATCACCTTGTTTGACCCCATGAGTCATACCAAAGAAATCGGTGGATTCTCCATTAACCAGAACGAACAACTTCGAAGATGAAGTCAAACTAGAGATCCACTTTCTAAATCTGTTGTGCAACCCAAGGTGAGTTAGGGCATTGCCAATGCATTCCCAACTAATAGAGTCAAAAGCTTTCTCGATGTCCAGCTTAATAACTAACCCTGGTTTACCACTTCTCCTTCTGCTATCGATTAACTCATTTGCAATGAGTCAAGACTCATGAATCACTCTACCTCTCTTTCCTGCAAGCTGAAAATCAGAGACAAGAGTGTTCGAAAAAGGTAGAAGACGATTAAACAACACCTTTGAGATGATTTTGTTTAAGCTTCCAAGCAAACTGATCGGTCGGAAATCAGAAACCTTCTCCACGTGATCTCTCTTAGGTAACAGGCAAATGAAAGCATGGGCTATCGAATGAGGGAGTGTGCCAGTGAGATAAAAAATCATCGAGAGCCTTCATAACATCTGATTTGATGATCCCCCTAGATTTTTTTTAAAATTCCATTGAAAATCCATCTGGACCCGGCGCCTTGCTTCCATTAAACTGCCTAATAACATGCCAAATTTCACTTTCCGTGAATGGTCTCACAAGTCCTTCATTCATCTCAGGGGAAATCACAACAGCCCTATAATTGGACGGAAAGGGACGATCATCCACAGCTTCAAGAAACTTGCCTTTAAAATGATTAAGAAAGGCTGCCTTAATCTCGATAGTATCTTCTGTTGCCCTGCCGTTAATAACCAATCTGCAGATTTTGTTCTTACACCTGTTAACCGTAGCAATTCTGTGAAAAAAGCCAGTATTTTTATCTCCCCAGTGTAACCAAATTTCCCTTGATCGTTGACGCCATGAGATCTCCTCCATGATTAACACTTTCTCCAACTCACATTTTAGCAGACCCCTCTCAGAAAACAGAACCTCATTAAGTTGTCCATTTTCCTCCATTTCATCAATTCTTTTAATTCTGGAAAGTAAATATGCAATTCGAGTCTCCACTTTCCCGAAATGAAGGTGGTTCCATTGTTTGATCAAGCTTTTTGTCATTCTTCACTTCTGCCCAAATTTGAACAAATGACTACTCCTCCTAAAAGGAACAGACCACCAACCCACCAGACTTTGCAAGAAAGTTTCCTCCCGAAGCCACCTGTTTTCGAATCTCCAGGGGTGTCTGAAGGGATCATTGGAGCCCCATTTAAGCAAAATCGGGTTATGATCCAATTCTACTCTATCAAGAGTGAATAAAGCTACTGGAGATACGAGGCCTTCAAAGCTCGAATTAATTAGAGCTCTATCAATGCGAGAAGCCGAACTCATCAATCCACCTTTGTTCCAAGTGAATCTCGAGCCTTGAAGCGGGAGGTCCACAAGATTGCATATGTTGATCAGGCTATTGAACTCTTCAATGATCTCAGCATCTCTAGGGCATCCAATGAATTCCTCATCAGACGTAACGAGGTTGAAATCACCAATGATGCATAAAGCAGCCAAGTATTTGCGACAAACCATCTCAATTTCCGACAAGAAATCCTGTTTAGCTTCTTTATCCTGCGGTCCATAAACCACGAGGAAGGAGATGATATACTCAGACTCAATGATCTGCAGACGGACAGCCAAAGAAAATCGCCCTTCCCAAACTGTCAACGCCTTGTACATCGAGGAATCCCAATAGATGGCAATCCCTCCGCTAGCACCAGACGAAGCTTTGGCAACCCAGCCACTAGATTTGCGACCCCTAATGGAATTAATCAACCTTTAATCACAAGTCTTCCATTTAGTTTCCGTGAGGCCAACAATCGATGGTTTCCATCTCTTCAAAAGCCTTTTGATTTTCGCCCTTTTATTCGGATTACCCAATCCACGCACATTCCATGCAAGGAAAGAATAAATCATGAGTGAAAAAAGCCACATGCAAAGAAGGTGAAAAACCAACCTATACCGAATGTGCTGAGCGTGACCGAGCTCTGGAAGTTGGAATCGTAGCTTCACTGATACCCAATCTCCGCAGTTCCATTTCTAATCTCGATCTTGATTCCCTTTTCCTTTTCCGGTGTGTCTCTGAGGTAATAAGAACTACCTTTTGCTTAGCACTGTCTGCTGACACAGAGTTGGACAGTTTAAGCAGAGCACAAAATTCCACACACTTCCTGATCAAGTCAACGAGATCTTGCGTACTTCGCCACGACTCAAGGTAGTCATAATTGATGGGTTAGAACCTATAGAGAAGTTCATTAGAAGCCGTGATAGTAGGGATAGACATTGATTAGGAGTTAATTATAATTGGGTGTGAATAATTAATATTTAGGAGTTGTATGATTTTGGAAAGTTGAGAAATTTTGGAGAAAGAGATGAAGAGAGACGTTAAATACTCTAAATATTAGTTTAAATTATCAAATAACTCCCAGCCCAGTGGTTAAATCCCTTTTCATGGACAATGAGGTCCATAGTTCGATTGTGGCGGCTGTCAACCTTTGGCGTTTATTTTTTCTCTAGTCGGGCAAAGCCCAAGGAGGTGCAGCTCCACCATGCCAGCCCAACAGGCTCGGATTATGATGTCGAATTTGGCTTTGACTCCGCTGGGCTTATGGATTATGAGGCCCCCAAAAGATGAGGCCCTGTGTTGTGGGTCTGACCAACACAGGGTCTGGGCGGGGCCTGTTCATAAGGCCAATACTACGGTGCCGCGATTTCTGATTGGGCCACGTGGCTGTGATGTGGCAGTGAGTGGTTTCATTAAAGCTGAACCCAAACCCGATGGCCCTAAACTGGCCAAACCGTCATTCGGCTAACTGACGGTGGTTTTTGGTTCCGTCTTCCCTTCTGTGATATGTATTGTTTTCCATTAAGAAATTTTGAATTTGAAAATCTAATAAATATGTTTTTCTGGGGATAAAAAATAGAAAAGGAAACCGAATTCCAGAGGAATTCGTCATCTTCCTCGCTCTCTTTCTCCAACGTATTGTGGTAAGCAGTACCGGCAACTTCTCCGTCGCCGATCCCACTAAAATCCTTCTCTGTCTCCCTCGTACCGACCGCCCTCTGTCTCCCACGGACTGCTCCACCATTACCGTACCACACGATCCCAAGCCAAAGCAAAGAGAATTGCCCTCCCTGCATCGTCCGCTTCGCTCTTAGCCCTCCCTATTGATGCGCGAAATCAGAATCCAAAGTTCCTTGGAGGTGCGTAGCGGCATTCCAAAGGCTTTCAGGTAATTTTGCGCAACTAGGACACGGATTCGAGCCGTTTTGTTCCTAAATTTCTTGTAGTTCCAAACGGCGAACTCCACTGTCTCCGATTAGGACTCCGTACCCTCCACTAAACTCCTTCATTGTATTCCCCCTCCTCCATTCATCGGGTGCAAAAAAAATGACGAATCCTTAGTACCGGGAGGCCCTCTGTCTCCGTCAAAGTGGTATGCGTTTTCCCCTCGCTCTGCACCCGTCAAGTTGACAAAGCGGAATTCGAAGTTATTTGGTGCCTAGAGACATTGCCTAACAAATCCGAAGGGTTCAGGTAATTCAATTCGTTTGTTTTTTAGAAACTAGGTCGATGATTAGTCTCTTTTTTTGTCCTGGATTAGGTCTAGCTTCCTTTTGCCTCTGAACTGCTGCCTGCTATGTCATGGATTTTGGAACTGGTTGATATGTCCCTGTTCTACTTGTTTGTTTGTTTTTTCTAGTTTGGTTGGTACATAAACAAGAGTAGAGCCTAGCAAAGTCAGCCGAGTGGGATGATGATTGTTGCTCTGTCCCTGTTCTGCTTCTTTGTTCTTTTTTTTTTTGTTGATACATAAAGCATTAGCAGAGCCTAGCTATGTCAGTCGAGTGAGGAGGCCACCATCAATTCATTATATTTTATCAAACAGCTATTGATAACTTATCCTATTATGACAAAGGCCTTCTCTAAACAAATTCCACGAGGCCTTCCATTCCCCTGTTAATAATGTGTTTTGCTAGAATCCTTGTTGAAACTGGCCCTTTAAGCTTTGAAATTGCATTCTAATAACAGCATCTCGTTTATACAGCAAGTGGGCAAGATGGTGTTTAATATGTTAAGTTGCCAATTTAGGTCTGCTATCAACTTTGGTTTGCTTGCAACTTGAGTGTAACTGTGATCGTTAGGATCAGCCGAGATGATGGTGTTACCAGGTTAATATGCTTAGATGGGTTGATTATATAAATTGGATTGAGGAACATGAAAACATTGATATGCATATTGGATTGAGGAATCTTTTTTTATTAGAAGTTAGTATGAGAAACTCGGCATGGAAAATGGCATGAGACGGTGGTGGCATAGTAGTATATTTTGAACAACTCTCTGTAATTGATATGGATGATGAACTGGGATAGCTAGGCTGTAACCCATTTTTGCTTTGATTGAGCGTTTGTTATCTTTTGCAAGGTTGTGTAACCATTTACTTGTGTGTATAATTATGCATAAACAAACAGCTATAACTGTTGTTCCAGTGGCGTTTATTCCAACTTTCATTTATGAGCAACATCTTCCACTAAGAAAATTTTGCAGTCAAGTTTATCTGCACATTTAGAATGTCATTATCACTATATGCTGACAAGTTCACGTTGCTTTATTCTTCTTGTCTTGAAATAATCTCTTCCAAGTCACAAACTTTTTTGAGGGTAGCTCTTGTAGTGCCAATCTAGCATAGAGTTTGAACCTTGAGAACAAGTTTGCTGCCAATGTAAGAAGCAGAACCGTATCTTCAGTTGATCTTATCCCTTTTCCCATTCCCTGTGTCCTGAATATGAACCCCTTTGGCTTGTATGTGCTGTGATTCTTCTCTCTTGTAGATATGAAAAATTAGTTGTGTTCAATGGATCTAAGGCAGGGTACCGATTTATAGATATGTGAATAGTTTGGTGTATGAGAAACAAGATGGTGTTTAATTAAATTAGTTAGGCATTTAGTTAAATTTGTAAGCTTGGCAATGACGGTTCATATACTGTTTTTGTAATCTTTGACAGGTGGTAAGGGTAGTGTTTATCCTTGAAGGTTTGTTTGAAATAGAGAGGCTAGGCGATAAAGTGAACACAGTGCAACCTGAATGGAAGGTATGCATCTCTATACAATATATCAGGATTACATTATTGTTTTAAAGTGAAGTAATAAGTGAATTTGGTATGCAGGATCCGAAGAACTCTCTTTGGCTCATGGAGATGATATTCAGCATGACATACTTACTGAGAATGCTGATACAGCTGCCCAAAGTCAAAGTACTGGTCATTCCCGTGAAAATACGGGGATGTCGCTCTTGAACGTTAATGTTCCTGGAAACATAGAGGATTGGGGGTTTCATGATTTGAAGGAGGTAACATTTGATTCTGTTGATGAAGCTGATAACTTTTACAACAATTATAGCAAGTATATGGGGTTTGGTGTCAGAAAAAAGGGACAGGAAGGTTAACAAATATGGGAAATGGACATCACGAAAATGGGTTTGTTGTAAAGAAGGAGTCAGAACTGAAGAAAATGTGAATAGAGAAAATAGGAAGAGGGAAGCAAAGGCGGTGACTAGATTCGGATGTCTTGCTTCGTTCAAGGTGAAATTTGATAAAAAAGATGGGAAGTACAAGGTAGAGGAGTTTGTTTCCGAGCATAATCATGATAGAGTTGGACCTGAACAAGTGCAGTTCTTAAGGTCTCATCGGTCACTGAATGAGGGTGATAAGGCACAAGTGGAGTCACTGCGAGGGGTGGGTGTGAAACCGAGTCAGATAATGGATTTGAGGGTAAATGAAGTAGGTGGCTATGACAACGTCGGTTTTACTCTTAAGGATTTGTACAATTTCGTGGATGGAGGTAAGAATTTGGAAGTGCATAGTGATGCAGAGTCTGCATTAGCATACTTACGTGCTAAGTATGAAATTGATTCAGAACTCTTCTGCAAGTTCACACTCGATGAGGATAGCAGACTAAAACATTTCTTTTGGGCCGACTCCACCTGCCGGTTTGATTACTCTTGCTTTGGTGATGTGTTAGTTTTTTATTCAACTTATAAGACAAACGCATACAAGATGCCTCTTGTCGTATTTGTTGGGGTGAATCACCATCACGCAACTACAGTGTTTGGGTGTGCTTTGTTACCCAACGAAACTGTAGAGAGCTACAATTGGGTAATTAAAACTTTTCTCTTGTGTATGAAAGGTAAGCACCCAAGTGTTGTGATTACCGATGGGTGTATGTCAATGAAGAGGGCCATTAAGGAGTTGATCCCTGGTGCTTCTCATAGGATTTGTTGCTGGCACTTGAGAAGGAATGCAGAATCGAATGTTAGTCCAAAGGAGTTTCTAAAAGTATTTGACAGATTGTTAAAACGGATTGACTCGGTTGATGAATTTGAGGAGGTATTGAGGAAAGGTATGGAAGAGTTCCAGTTAGGCAGCAATGAATGGTTGTCTGAATTGTATGAGAAGCGACATAAATGGGCTCAAGCATTTTTCTCTGGCACGTTCACTGCTGGAATGAAGAGTTCACAACGCGTTGAAGGGATGAACTCTTATTTGAATCGTTTTTTGGATAGGAATTGAAACTGTATGAGTTATTCGTACAAGTCGATAGAGGTCTACGAAGGTTGAGAAACAAGGAGGCAAAGGAGGGATTTTTGAGTGTTGATACCTTCCCTGTGTGTGATACACATCTTCGGAGTATTGAGGAACATTTTGGTAGAATTTATACTCGCAAAATGTTCTTTAAAGTGCGGAAGAGGATTAAGGAGGAGCCATTGCTATATTGTGTGTCGACTAGGGTGAATGGGGAGAAGCACATTTATGAGGTGAGCAAATATTCGAACATTAATGCTTCTTGGATTGTGGTTTACTACCCAGCAGATAGGAGAATCGAGTGTTCTTGTCAGCTTCTCGAGAGCAAAGGCATTCCATGCAGTCATTGTTTTTTTGTGATGAAAGTTAATAACATGTCAGTTGTTCCATCTTCTTTGGTGGTGAAACGATGGTCCAAGGATGCTAAGAAAGAGTGTCATGTGCAATCAGTCCACCCAGAGCTGCAAAATGAAGAGTTACATGCTATGGTGAGATCTGGTAATCTAAATGGAAGCTTTGGCAAGCTATGTCGGTATGCATAAAAAACGGAGAAAGGATACAAGCTGGTGAAGCAGGAAATCGAAAGGTTGAGTGTGTTGGCCGAGGAAATTTGGCGAAAGCATGGTGGATTGGAACCCATGGAGAAAACAGCAGAAAGAACACCAAGTATTAGGATTAAAGATCCCCATGTTGTGAAAACAAAAGGACGTAAGAGAGAATCATCAACCCAGCCAACCAAAAGACGTTGTAGTCATTGCACTAATGAAGGACATGATGTTCGCACATGTCCACAAAAAGATCATGGAGATACAGGTATGGAACTATATCTATTTAGTTTCATTTTGTTAGGACTAGACTGTTTCTACTTATGAAGTAAATCACCCGATTTTTTGTTAATGTGCAGGAGCTCATGCGTCTAGAAGCTGAGAATATTAGACTTCATATGATCAGCAAGTTAGTGATCAATAGGTATGTTCTTAGATTTTATTGTAAAGCAGTGAAAAACTTATCTCTGTATATGTATGTGGCTGGAGATCTTGATTGCAACTTTTGTCAGTATATAGTGTAAAACACTTGATATAATCTCTTTATACATGTCAAGATTACCAAGCTTGGTGAAAGAAACAATGCGAGATTGGTGGGATCATTAGGAAATTGATACTGCATTGACTAGTGGCAGATGGGTTAATGGAATAGGTGGATTCCTGTTGTTGTAAGGTAAAGGAAGGTATAGCTGCTGCATTTTTAGTTTAGCACTTGGAGCTACTGAACAAACATATGTAGAACAGGCAGCCAAGTGATTTTGGGATACTTAAGGGCTACGATCTTAGCATGATACAATGTAGTATGCCTGCTCACAAGGAAGTATGGTTGCTTGCTCACAAAATTGGTCAAGCAAGTTACTCATGGCTGATTTTGTGGTGTTTTCCTAGTGTGTTAAGTTTCTTAACTTTAGACTAGCTTTATGGGAGGAGCACTTGGGTCTTGTCATCGTTGTCGTTATCATTTGAGTTTTGTAGTTGTTTTCTTATCGCATATGATATAATCTCATTTTGCAGGTCAAGATGTTGAAGCTTGTTTGATGGCGGCGAGACTGGAGGAAGTTAAACAGTAGGTGAAGGAACGACTTGGGATTGGAGGCATCATCGGAAGACTGTTACATTAATGTTTTCAGTAGTTGGTTGTTGAAGTAGGCTAGGTTCTTGCCTCGGAATGTAAACTCCTACACACTCGATCATGAGAATGAATACCTCAACATTAGATGGAATGAGTTTAGTTTATTGAATGACAAGCTTTGTTCAAGGTTCATTTCCAAAGATTTGTGTTCATTATTCAGTTTGAGATCCAGTCATTTGATTCCTCAGTGCTGACTTTTATTACTGGTCATTTAGTATGCTGTTAAGATTCTCTGTTATGCATGTATGTTAAGTCCTTATATGGATGGTGCTTTTTCCCCATTTTGGACCGTCAAACTGAAATGTTCTTTAGGATGGAGTTCAATGTTGCTTTCTCTGCAGAATTTGCAGCTTTAACATGGCTGATGAGCTGTTGGTGCACTCCTAGAACCGAAGGATTCCTATCACATTCAATGCGATTTTACGTTTTAAGATGATGTCTGTATAAAAATAAAAGAGATTGCTTTCATTATGAATCGCAGGCGACCAGCCTAGTGGTTTAAGACTCTAACTTAATTGACAATTGAGAATATTTACATGCATAAGGTAGTGGGTTCAATCCCCCTTGCACACTTTTTTTTTTCTTTATGCAAATTTGGCGTGGAGATGGTGTGGCAGTGTCTTACATCTAAAACTACATGATTTGAGCATCTGCAACAACCTCAAACAAACACGGGACAGAAATGCAGAAAACTCTGCATGTTAGCGCCACCTGTTAGCGCCAAGAGATTGAAAGTCCACTACTTTGCATGCGGTTTATTCCAAGTTTACATGTTTCCATTCTAATGTTCGTCTTGATGACACACAACTTCTTCGCCAAAAGGTTTCCACACACCTAGTCACTTGAACCCTAGGTGATCCTTCACAAACAGCCTTCCTGAGATGACACATCAACAGAAATTCCTTTGGCTTTCAGCACCAGGAACGTAATACCGCCTCAACTTGGAGTTCCTAAGTCCTCTTCAGTAGAATGCAAGTGAAAGCTCAGCAGCATAAAGGAAAGAAGAAGGTTATGTGCATTCATAAGCTTTCCTAGGCAAAAAACTTCTTGCCCTCATCTCATTACATCATGCCTTCATCGCGGAGCACTAACCGGCCAACGCAGATCACTCCCGATCCACTGATGGGAGTAAAGCTCTCCCGGACCATGAAACCAAGGCACGGTTGCCCTATCAATTTACCTGGGTACACAATGAAACTCAATCAGGTAAAACAAAAGATAAGCGAAGGGAAGGATGAAATCTGATTGCGAGAAGCAGCCTTGCCTTGCACTAAGGACGTTCTTATAACTATACTGACTATCTTTTGCTAATTTGTACTAGATTCACCTGGTATTTGAACTTTGAGGAGTCATTATAACTACTAAGCTAGCAGTACATAGTTGTAAGCAGTAGCTTAGATTTGGGCAACAAAATTTATATCTTGTAGAATTTGCAGCTTTAACATGGCTTATGAGCAGTTGGTAAAAACTAATCAAACTCTTCGTTTCACAATAGCCAAACTCCAGAACAATAAGACAAGCCATAACAATTGATAAAGTAGACAACCATTAAACTGAAACCTTTACAAACTTCACTAATTCAAAATTTCTAGCACTTGATGTCGGTCATGTGGTCGGGGTGGGGGGAATTGTCCTTTTCAACTTGCAAACTAAGAAATGCAACATAAAAAAAAAAACTACTGATGTTCTTTGAGAGCTTTTCCACTGGTCATAGAGCTTCATGGTCAAATACCAATCAAGTAGCAATATGAATGAAATAGTAGACCAGGGAATTGCTTATCTAGTGAAGAATTCGACCAGAACTAAGAAGCAAACAGACCGGCGGTTCAAATGAAACGGAAATCGAAACTTAGGGTTTCAATGATTTCTGAAATGAAATCAAGTAATAATCGATCGATTAATGAGACTGAAATTGAGAAGAGCAAAGTAGGGTTCGATTCTTCCAATTGGGAATTCAAACTCAAGAATCTGGTTCGTAGAGAAAATCGAACTCAACACAGAACAAGAGACAACTCAAGGGATTAACTGGATTGAGAGTCTAGCACGTCTTGTTTGTAGTACACTGCAGTCTTCTGGTTTTTGTTTGGTATGGTGTCCCATTTATTCACAACTATCAGGAAGCCTTTACCTTCCTTCTCAATTCTTTCAGCTATTTTAAAATCCTAAATTTGTCACAGAATGGAGCCAGAGTTGGGATATGAACATGAAAAGGAGAGGTGTAACAAATGGTGTGATGGAAAGAGCAAGTTACCTGCTCTGTGATGCATGCCATGGCCTCAATGACAAGAGCAACAACATCAGAACGCCGAATTGTTCGAAATGCTCGGTTCACTGATAATGCCTCTGTGGTGCTACCTGAAGAAGCCACGACGGCCCTTTTCCTGATTCCAGCTGTATCGATGAGTCAGAACTTCTGCAAAAACAGTGAACTTAGGGAGGTCAAATCACCCATGTCCTGAACTGAAACACAAAGAAGAGCACAAGGTAGGATGAAAGTTAATTATTGTTCCTATCTCCACATCAGCTACTGTTAGGCCTGCCTGTTCAGTAGGCTTAGATATCACACTCCCAAAAAGATGACAATTTCGTTCTCACAAGAGAAGGGGGAGTTGTTTATTTACCTGTCCATCAACAAGGAATATAATGGCAGAGGATTCCTCCACAGCAGCAGTTGCTAGTTTCTCGATCATTGAGGGCATCCTGGCAACCGCAGCTTCCCTAGAGGCAAGCGGAATTCCTTCCATGCCAATGGTCGTCGTGATAGCAAGTTCATCCATAACCTCATTTTTTGGTTTCGACACAGTGATTACTCCTCCGGTATCCACCACCATGAACTCATGATCACCCCAAAAGGATCTTCCGTAGAGACGATCACGAGTAACTCCAGGTTCATCCACCACAATAGCCTTGTTCTCCTTCAATCAAGAAAGTAACAAAATCTTTGGATTCAGGAAATGAAAACTAGCATCGACTTGCTAGCAGCAAAGTTTGAACCTGTTTTTTTCAATGTACCCCAACAAGGCGGTTAAACAATGCTGATTTCCCAACATTCGGTCTCCCAACAATGGCTACCTTAGAGAGAAAATGATCTGGAATCTGCAGGTTAATGTATTGATGAATTCAACAATTCAGACTATAAATCTACAACCTCTACGACGCCCAACGATCCGAACTTTTCAATAGAACACAATTGAAGTATCAAAACCCAGCAAGCTGGAAGTGAGTAAAAGGCCAAAATGAAGAACTGAACCTCTTTCACTGTGAGCTTCCTCCTCCTCTGCTTCCTAGATTCCTTTCTGGTATCAGCCTCATCGTCTGCAAACAAAAATCAGCGCAAGAACAATGAGCAAACTTTATAATATTTCCCAAAACCTGAATCAGAAACCCACGAAAGAACTCACCGATTATCAATTCACGGGATAAGGACGAAGAGTACTCCCTAACTGCAACTTTAGCTTCCTGTTCGAACTCATCGACGTCAAACTCGTAATCCTCTCCATCAGACTCATCAAATTCCAGGTCCACCTCAGTGTCTGCTTCAGGTATTTCTTCTTGGTCATCATCTAGGGAGGATTTGCACAAAATTAACCTGGGAAGCGGAGATGAAGAGTGAATGAGTTGCAGGGGAAAGTACGAAGCTTTGGCATGGGAAACGAAGGGAATCGAAAGCTTGCAAAGGGAGGAAACGATGCAGAAACGGCGGAGTAGACTTCTGTAATGCAATTGGGGTAGCGGGGGTGGTTTTGGGGAGTCTTCGCCGTCCTCGCCGTTCGCCCTAGGAGTCTTCGCCGTCCTCGCCGCAACTTCCTTCCGATGCGCCGCTCGACCTAGTGATTCCTCGCGGCGACTGGTAGTGTTGCTCAGTCCGCCTCGTCGACGCTGCCATCGCACTTATCCCATACCTAATTCTGCTATGCTCCGCCCCAATCTCCACTGGTGAAATTATCTCTTTGGATCACGAAGTTGCAGAGACGACGAGAGGTTCTTTTCTCTCTTCTGTGTCCTCAATCGGCGCGGCGGAAGGCATGGCGGCGGCGAAGGGATGGACCGAGCGGTTCCTTATTCCTCCTCACCATCACTCGCCATCAGCAGAGACGAGTGAACCATGTCGGCGCACCGAGCAAGCATGGCGGCGGCATTCTGATCTGCATCCTCGATTGGCCTTCCGAGCAAGCATGGCGACGGGGCGAGATTCTAATCTGTCTTCTGCGTCCTTGATCGAAGAATGGATTTTGCCGGTGTGGTTGGGGCGTTCCATTGTAAAACTAGGGATTAGGTCGATTAGCTGATTGCTTGGCATAGCAAAATTAAGGCGCCAGAATGTTGGAGCCAAAACATTGGTCTCACAATACAAATTTGGAAAAAATTATTAATGCCAAATGATAAATACCCCCAATTATGAAAAGGAAAATCAAAATTTCCAATCAAATTATTAATCAATCCATAATAAAAACAAAACCAGATTTGTTCATCTCAAAGTGTTCAAAATAAGCCAACACAGAATCCATCATTGTAAACCGAAATCAACTCATCGAAGACAAAAGAGATTAATGGAAAGGCAACATAAGAGGAGTACTGATTAGCAACACTTCACTTTTTTCCTTTGCGTCCTTTCGAAGCCCTTGGTTTGCCCTTGGTTTGTGCAACCTTTTTAGTCGCGTCATATTTTTTTGCCTCTTCCTCGATCTCGTCCTTCTTGTTGTTGAACTCCCACTTCACCAATTCAAGTGCTAAATTCAGTCGTTCTTCTTCACTGTGGAACTATAAGTTCAAATAGTCAATTAGATTGCACCACAAAATTCTCTAACGATGATGTACTGACGGGTTTCTTAAATGATAGCTACCTCTTTTCTCATATCTCTTGCCGCCTTGTCGAGCGACGTTGCCCCTTTCATCAACTTCACAACAAACATACCAGAATCATCGTTGTCCAATGAAAAATGGCATTATAGATTGTAGTTAGTATCACTAACGTTGTAGCATGAAACCGACTCATTATACGAAGCACACGATGGTAACTCACTCATTGGATTGTTGAGGGGCCTCCACTACAAAATGAATGGGAAAGCGTTGAAATGGGTGGTCATCATCAAGAATACCACTAAAGTCCTTACCAAATATAACGTCCAACATTGTTACCTGTAATTGTAAAAAAATGTGTGTTAAAAGATTTAGGTTGGTATTTCTGCGAAGACTAAGTAATAAGGGATGTGAACGAGAAGCGACAACTCACAATTTGTTTTGCTTTAGCCTCCAGATCGGGGGTATTTGTATGTTTTTGGTATGAATCCCAAATTGCAACTTCACGATTTTTTATATCAACGACCATAAGGGCAAAGTGAAGGGCCAAGTAGATTGGTACGAAAATCTGAGAAGAACAAAAATTAAAAGTAAGGTAAAATGACTATTTTGCACATGGTTTGAAGGGACTTTCATAAAACAAAAATCAACATTCAAATGCGACCATACCCGCTCAGAGTCTCTGATCCTTGAACAATATTTCGATACCACCTTTTGAGAAGTCATATACTTGTAAAACTCGGTCTGGGTGTCTCCAGACTTCAACTACAACAAATAAGCACATTAATACATAGAGTATTATGAAATCAATAGAAGCAAGTCCATGTATACGAATGGGGCTTGTGGATTACCCCAACTATAGTTGGTAGGAATGTGTTTGTAGGAACAGCCTTTTTAGACTCCTCGATAGTAAGCTTTCCCACAACTCCATTAATGACCTTTTACAAAATTTTGAAATACAACGTAAAGTTTAAATATGAAACGTGTACTTAATTCATAGCAACATATATCAAACTTTGTTAAACTAAACCATGATGCAATACTTACCCCTAACTCGATCTTTTGGTTGGGAGCTAAGGACCTTAGGTCAACACATATAATATACACGTTGGTACTAGATACCACAACATCACTATAACAAACAAATGTTAGTGTATGTGAAAACAAAGAATTAAACAATGATATTAGAAACAGAGTTAGGTATAGATTTTAACCAGTCATTCATGTCAGCTTCGAACATATACTTGATCAGCGAAAGGTCTTCAATTGAGGCAGGACGACCCACTTTGAACATACCAACCAAAAAAACTTTCCTTGTTTTTTCATTTGCATATGGAGATTTTACCCACTTGCTTGGTTTGCGCTCCGCATCAGCACGCAACTCTCGAGCTGATGAGTACACATCATTAAGATTAAATTCTCTACCTCCCTCTTGTATCTGTCAAATAATACTACATCAATTTATAGTGTCCACGAACCCATTATTTGTCTAACTATCAGATTACTAAACGTAAACGCATATATATCAAACCGAAACAAAAAAAGTCAACTTACCTCCACTGACGGACTCTCATTACCAACTGATTCCATAGACATGACATGTTCTGCATCCAGACCAAGACTTCTTCTATGTGTTTTCATGAATGTTAACAAATCTTCTTGCAGGTCCTTTATGGTATCCAGTTGTAGTTCCACCAATTTCATACGTGTGTCAAAACTCACCATGATTTCTTTGATGGCTTGGACAGACTCCAAGACACCAGCAATATCAGCACTTTGATCCTTTGTGTTTTCCATCTTCCTAGTTGTCATAAAAAAGTAAAAAACACCACATTATAAAGGGTTAAAACCACATTAAAACAATTAATTATATATATATTTATGACTATTAACGTACTAATATACATAACATTATAAAATGTTATAACCGGACATTTTATTGAATGTTTTTAGTAGAATTGTTATTGATTTCCCCCCCCCCCCCCCCGGGGGGTTCTCTCGTGTTTATACTTAGGTAACTAGTTCGTGGAGCGGGAGCGAGAGCGCGAGCGCGTCTGTTTTAAAAGAATTCACTATCAAGAGCGTGAGGAGAGCGTGATCATTTTATATTATTTTTATTAAAAATTCAATATATTTAATACTAAAATAATATTAAATAGGATATTTAAGATACATTTTGCTCTTCTCTTTGTAAAAATGGAACCTATGATTACCAAAAACTGAAATAAAGGCGAGAGTGGGAAGTGGGGTGAAAAAGTAACTTTTTTCTTTTACAATTCATCTTTTCATTTATCTTCACCAGGCACCACACTCCACGTCTCCACCCTCCCACCGCCATCTCTGGATTCTGACTCTCTGCTATTCAGTCGACGATTACTCTCCCAATCCAAATCGATCCCAAACTTAACAGCACCAAATTCCTTCTTGATAAGCCGAAAGAAACAAATACAAAAAAAAAAACATAAATTCCATCCCAAATCTCAACAATAAGTCAATAACCATCATCTTCACTGCTGCGTCCTCCTTTCTTCATCGGCAGCGATTCTTATTGAGTCGCCTACAATCTTAAGCCACCAAAACGAAGAACTGCCTAGAGATTCTCTGCCGTCGTATCGACTCGCCGGAACAAAGAGATGAGGGATAGACGGAATCTTCAATTCCGTCACGATAAGGGATCGCATCGGGTTATCACGATAAGGTTCAAATTGTATATGAAAGGGTTTGTGTTTTTACGGCTGGGGAATAATTTTGGGGACAGAGAATAAAAGGCAGCAGGTGGAATTCTCTTTTGGGGGAACAGAATTTCGTGGAGAATTAATAGAAAAAGGAGCTGGCGATCAATCGATCCCAACGTGTTTGGTTTTCTAGCTTCTGTTTTGATCCCTTTCAAAGCTGAAATTCCAAGTAAGTTATCTTTCCCTAGCTTTTTCAACTTTGGTTTAGCATTCAGGGGTGCTCATGATTAGTATGCGGGATTGAATTTAAGAATCATGGTGGCAGTCGGCTGTCATCTCCTTCTCTGTTTTTTGTTTTGCACTCTTAATTCACCCCAATCTCTTATTTATGAATCTTAAAAACAACATCTGTTTGGGATTAAATAAAAATCAGTTTCACAGCCTGACCTGGAATCACAAGTAGAAAGTAAGAATTTGCTTTGGATTGATACTTAAGGTGGCTCTCTTCTCGATTGATGCCTTACTTATTAGCTAACCACACTCCTTGATTTGGTTCGTGATTTGAATGCATTTGTTAAGTATACTTTGTATAGGGTTGAGATGATGAATCTGTGTCGTCGACCTAACGTCCAAATGATAGAGCCCTAAGCCTGAAGGTCGTTTTGATCATATTCAATAGGTCTTGCTTTCCAATAGCCACTTCTGTCGAGGGCTGCGTTTTTAATTCGTGGGTTCATCTTTGCTTTCAGGTTTTTCTTTTTCAGTATTGATTAGAGATTGCTGTAGATTTTGTTTCTGTTCTGTTCAGTCTTCGTGTTTTTAGAATTCATAGCAGATGTGTATTTGTTTATGCTTAGCAATTTGCAGATGCAGCTGCTGCGTCCCATGCAGAATTGGTTAACTGGTGATTAGTGGACAGGATGAAACATAGCAAAGTTTTTCTGAAATAGTAGCGTTTTGTTGCCTCATTCCGTCCAATCGAATGGTTTTGATTCAGGATGAAACAACAGCTATGATATCCTTGCTTCATTTTATTTCGCTTATGTCTAGGATTGTTGGGTTGTAGTGATTAAATGATACGAAGAACTGTTATCATTCAATAGATACCAACGACCATGCTTTTTCAATCATTGTTTTTCATTCTTCTTTGAGTATGCAACTAATAGGTTATGGATAATGTTTGAAAAATGATGAGTTGGATTGTTTATGTCGATGATTAGTTGTGATTCTGTTTTCTGCTACTTCCTAGATTCTAGAAATTTGGACCCATATGTCTTTTGCTTTCATTTGGTTTGTGCTTCGTTATTCCACTTCTTGACAGCAGCTGGGGATTCGCAATTTGCTTGCTTTACTGCCAGGCCTGTGCTTTGCAGAACCTGCTCCCAACTATCGTAGTATGCGTATTCCTGTTAATCTTATAATGAATGAAAATCCAGCTCTTCTCTGGAGCAAGTAGAATCACTAAGTTGTATGTAGATCCTGGTTGATTATCATGACTTAGAATATAGGCTGACCAAGCAATAGATGATAACCTTAATGATTTCCATGACTCTTTCTGGGATTCTGATTTCATATCCAATTTGCTTCTTAGGTAGTGGAATTGAAAGCTCGATGATAGAGTATTTAACGAATGGCTAGCAGCGCTTCGAATGTTAGTTGATGATTTTAAAAGCCTAAGAATGCTTCTTTGTTTGGAGTTTGTTATATTTAAGTCTCTTATAAAACTAACACATTTTTCTTCTTCCCGAAAACCTATGGCATAAGAATTATAATGGCTTGGTAATCTATGAAAGTTGCATTTGGTATTCTAATAAAATAACAACATCATTACGCTTCTGAAAGTAATAGAGGTTAAGTATGAACACATACCTTACTTCTCCACCCAGGGACGTCGATTCTGCATAAAAATTCATGCCCGCCATGAAAATCAGTACCAAACTATGAAATTAGGGTAGAAGGGAAAAAAAACAAGCTAACTAATACCTTCGATGATGCTATGCGACTCTGGAAACCCCTACTCCCTTCCACGAAAAGTGAGTCCTGAAAGAGGGATATGTTTTTATATAGTCCACAGTAGCAATGAGAATTTGATATGAATTCAAATGCTTCATCTATCTATTATTAAGAATAAATATCCCCTTTTCTTGTTACGTAGTTGATTGAATATTTAATTATATGCTTGAATAAACAGGTAGTTCCCTTCCGTGATTAATATTTTGCTGAATATTTTCAAATTCCAGATTGCTGTAATTTACCTTTTTAACTTTTTTCGACGTCCTTGCTAGAACCCTAATCTTTCCAACCGACTCACCTTTTTTTATTTGTCGACTTCCTCACCAGTCACCAGAACCCTACTATTCTTCTTCTTCTCCTTCTCCTTCTCCTTCTCCTTCTCCTTCTCCTTCTTCCGTATTAGGGGTTGTCGATGTACGGAGAGGCCTGTGGTTGAGCGCTAGCTATGAGGATCTGCAGATGGACTGTTGAAGGGCATGAAAATTGAAGTTTGTGGCGGTGGCTCGAGGGTTTTACGACTTTCTATCACCATCTCCAATTAAAATGGCAGGCTGTTTACTTTATGGTTCAGTTTGTGTGAATGTACAAAGGAAATCTGTGTTGCCTCATGATGGTATATGTAAATGTACATGACAGCTTAGGTGCGCAGAAGAAAGGCAGTGGTTTGACAAGGGTATGAAACTGCCAGTTGCCCCAAATCTTTTCAAGGTTTTGTTTCTTCCCTTCTTTTAATCTCTTGCAACAATTTGATGCAGACATCCTCGATTACTTCTTTCATATGGCATGCTGTTTGCTAGACTAGATAACAAACATGGTGAGTGCATTTGCAGATTCTGCCATATGCATGCATTTCTTCCCAGGACTTACAAATATGAGACAGTAGTTGCAATTTTTTTAAGCAACTGTCAATGATGAATGCCATGGAGAAGTTTGGTGCATGACTGAACAAAGTCTGTTCGAACTGAGACTTGATTCTCAATTGCAAAGTAGTAAGATAACAAAGTCTGTTCCAACTGAGACTTGATTCTCAATTGCAAAGTAGTAAGATAACAAAGTCTGTTCGAACCGAGACTTGATTCTCAATTGCAAAGTAGTAAGATAACAAAGTCTGTTCGAACTGAGACTTGATTCTCAATTGCAAAGTAGTAAGAAGTGGTACACAGAGCTTATTGAGAGCTAGTTAAGCACTTGATGGTTTATTCATTTGAAAAGTTCCAAGGTAACGTGTTCCCGTACTTGATTATAGCTCTCCATCACTCTTCCTATGATAAAATTTCCGAATAAGGCTGAATCCCTTTTAATCATCTGTTTTGTATAAACCAACGTGAACTTGTTGTGAGATTGAATTTAAGGGTTTGCTTAATCGATGTTATGTTGGTTTTTGCTTAATCGATGTTATGGTGGTTTCAGGTCCCATTTTTAGATGCAATCAACACTCTGTCCATCATATTAGTTGCTGTTGCAGTTGCTGTTTCAGCTCCCATTTCACATTAGTTGCTGCTTCTGTCCAAGACATGTCCATCATAATGATTCCTGTGCTGCCCCTGTATTTTGAAGCAACCAAAGTGTATTAAATTCAAAACCATATAGTTAGTTATGTTCGTGGGCAGGGTACGTTTCTTTGAAAGGCACGGGCTGCTTTACAAAGGTGCTCTTCTTGACTTCTTCTCTTTGCTATCTCACCCCATTCTAGCGAGATGGAGGCCAGTTTCTTGCACCAAGCTTTCTTACCCTATGCTACACCCGTTCGTTGGCTAAAATTGACTATTAATGCCCTCTCTTATATTTATCGGGTGGATAACTCTCCCAATGCTGATAGCCACGAAGTTATGTAACTGTTACTAGCCTGGAAAATCAATGCAGTACCTGAGAAGTCTGAATTTTATCTTTCTACAGGGCTTTAAACTGAGACTGGAAAAAAGAGCCTGAAGTTTATCTTTCTGCAGAGTCTGATTCCTTAACTGTAAATTAGCGTTAATGGATGCACGTCGAGGGCCAGGCCTTCTTGAGAGTTATTGATTCTTATGAGTAATTGCCTGATAAAAGACGACCGGTTGTCGGTTGGGGTTCTAGTTACCCAGATGGTAGCGCTCTTAAGTGTGAATATATTTGCTCATGTAGCTGTTGTTATACTGCTTATGCTTATCAGGAAAATTTGTATTCTATATGGTCAGGGGGAGCTTTTAATCTTATGAAGCTCTAGAATGATCATTGTACACGAGGCTTGCTGCTCTTGAGAAAGAGACTCTTGATTCCAGAAGCAATATGAAGAGAAAATTAGTTATTGGATGTTGTGCTGCTATGGCAAGCATTGTTATTCTCGTTATCGTGACAAGGTAGCAATTTAGAGGCAGGGAAGCTGCTATCCTATCAGGTTTGCCTCTTGTCTCAAAATTTATATATTGAACCAACGATATGTATTATGGTGACTATCTTTTTGTCTATTATGCTAAGAATGTCGCGTGGTAATGCAGAGAAGAAAAGAAGAGGATCAAGAAGAGTAAGCGAAAAGCAAGCTAAGAAAGCCGAAGTGATCAAATCCCAGAAGTCACAGCCCAAGCAAAAAGAAGGCTAGGAATGACCGGACAAAGTGTCCTAAGCTCGGTGGTAGTAGTGGAAAGTTTTGGTTTGTTCACGGTTTAGTTTTGCAGACGGTTGGGGAATACCATATAGGCTTAGTGAAGGTTTAGGTAGTTTTGACTGAATAGTTATGTAATTTAATGTTCTGGGATTCTTGGTAGTAGTATGAATTAGTGCACCTGCTGTGTTGGGTTCTTTTGCTGACGGAACTGGTATGTAGGCTGAATTTTATGTCAATGCTTATCTCTTTTGAATGATTGAGTTAATTGGGTTAGAATGAAGGTATGCAATGGGCTCGTGACTTTTAAGACATCTCTTTGGCTTTTGACTCCCCTCTTGAATTTTAGTGTGATATGTTATTGGCTTATTGCACAAGTAGAATGAGGGAAGGTTAAGTGCTGATCTAAATTGGGACATTTACTCTATCTTGGCTAATGGAAAAACATCAGGAAAATATGAAAGTAGAACAACAAAAACATCATACAACATATTTCCCTTTCTCGCTTGTACATGCTCGGAAAAGAGACTCGTTTATAAACCCTCCCAAGCAAAGGGGAGATGCAAGCAAAAATTCCATGTCATAAATCGCATGATGATAATATAAACTGCAGTCCCCAAAACTAACTCTTTCTTCCTACTGAAAATGGTCCAACATACAAATTCTACTCCGCAAAGAAGAATTTACATTTCATGTAACATGATCCTCTCTAAAGCTGATCTTTTCAGTTTGTGATTTAGAAGTAGTACATACAAGTTCCTGCTCACTTTCAAGTGGACTACCAACACAAGATAATCAAATACACTTTACATTAACCACAAGGATTCCAGTCATTGTTTCTACTTCTGAGATCTTGCTTGTTTATGTCAGAAGAAAATGAAGTTGTCATTAGTTTGTTCAGCTGCAATACGAAACAATAAAATGAAAGAGTGACATCGCAGCTTTCAAGAAAAAATATGTCCTCCATGCGCTGAAAGAGTGATCTTGATTGCCATGTCAAGTCGGTTTCCAACTGAAGTGAGTTGTTCGTGCTTCCTTGGTCGGCAACTCCAGCCTGCCTTCCCCCCAAAAAAATTTCATCGAGATAACTGTAAGTTGATAAATATAATTCTGCTTTATTCAGTAAAGACTAAAGAGCCAAACCTTCCATTCAAATTGCAATTGTGTCAATATGCTAGCTAGCTAACTATTCAATTTGACGCACACTTTCCGATCGAAAAGGACCTAACTACCTGCATAATGATACAAACTGATCACATGAATCATTGATAGCAAGCTAACAATCTCGACTAAGTTAGTAACCGGCTAGACATTTGAGTGGGAAAGCTAAGTGTATTCTTCTACATCCACAACTCAAACACAAACCCTTGCAGCAGAAAACCAATAAGCCAAACTAAAAAAAGGACAACCGCAACAAATAACATACACAAGCACAGCAACACCCAAAACACACAGAGAAGGAAAATTGAACAGCACCTGCAGCATAAAAGGCACCCTACTGCCACTACCACACAGTCCCAATATAAAACATATAAGATTATGAAAATATCTTGTCAATTAGAGGTGACCAACCAAGAAAAACCTCACGTCTTCTTTCACAAATTCAACTACAAGGCCAAAATGAGGATTTACCATCACACAACAGCATCTACAAATAGAGTCCTAATCAGCACAACTACCCTCGTACTGGATTGGTTTGGTGAAAACAAGTTCTCCTTGCTTTCAAGGAAGTGGTCCATCCTTGCAGCTGCATGATTGATGATTCTTTATTAATAGTCATAGCAAATGTGTACCCTAATGGTGCAATCCTTCTTATCTCTAACGTGTGTAATCCAAGAGATTTTAAAAGCTTTGCACAATTTTCCTTTCTTTGGGTAGATTCGCATAAAGGCAATTGAAGAGATTTATAAACCAGGATATATTGGGTTATTAATTATGTAGTGAAATAAGATACAATAGTCTTGTGCTATTCTGTTCAAACAAGCATTCAAATTCTGTTCTTATGAATAAATGAATTTGCTGTCAATTTCACTTAGGAAACTAGAAAAGACCAATTAGCATAACAAACCAAACGACGTTTCAGGTTTTGGATTCATATGTGGCAAAAGCACCAACTAGAAACGGGAGTAGCAGACAGGCAGAACTGAGAAGCTGTTAGCTGACATAAGATACAAGAGGGAAGGACAACACATAAGCAGAACATGGGCACTTCAACCACTACCCTGCTGCTTCGTAACACAACAATGCAAGGGGAAAAATCCCAAAACAAAGCTTCATTGCAGCAGCCATGACATAACAGTTCAGAGCAAAAGGAAACTAAACCAAATTCGGCATCAAAACGAACCCAATCATTGTCCTAGTTCCTCAAAACACAAATGAATCGAATTACCAGGACCCTTCGGGTTCGTTAGGCAAGGTCTCTAGGCACCCAGATTTTGAAGATTCCAACAGGAGATTGATGAGTGAGGGGAAGCCGCAGGGACGACAATTCAAACTTTCTTCGCCTTTTAATCGTCTGTGTCGGCAGAGCACTTCGATGGTGACAGGCTGCCGCTTAGAATCAGGGATTATTCGATTTGTTGAGGAGATCGAGGGAGTTTTCTCAATCGATTTGGAACAACCCACCGTCGTCGTCCCCTGTTTACCAGTTTTCTCAATCGTCCGGAAAACAAACTAATTCAATTTTTAATTAATAAAAATATAAATACAGTTGGAAAAGAAAAAAAAAACGTTTAAGTTGGACGGAGAGGGAATCTCGGTTAGTGTGGGAGAGCCGAGTTGGTTTCGGTTCTGGTTATTCATGGGTTTTGGGTCGCGCTAATTAAACCACTCACTGCCACATCAGGGTCACATGTCCCAATAAAAAACGGCGTCACCGGTGCCGCACTTTTTAGTGCGGCACTGTAGTATCGGCATGTTCATAATACTGACTAAACTTTTATATTTCAAAGTTATAAATTAAAAGCAGTCCGACGTGGCTGCTGCCGTGGCAGATGAAGTGGCCTTCTCCATTAAAAATTCAATAACAATAGCGAACAGTTAGCCATATCTTGACCCGCAACAGTAGTTATGGTTAATAATTTGAATTCTCATAGTTGTAGCTATAATTCACCGCTTCATAATAGTTGTGGCTAATATATTGTATTTACCCTAATTCTAATACAGCTAAGTACGGAAACTCTCTATCAAGCAAGAGAGAATTGAATCCAACTAAAAATGAAACACACTGCACCATTTTCTCTTATGAGACAATTGTGTCAAATTGATCTGTTACAATTCCTCATCCGTTACAATCTTAAACCTCACAATCCTACATAAAGGGTTCAATGCTCTCCTTTTTTGAACAATATGTCACTAATCAAAAAGAAATGGAGAGTTGTTGATTCAAGTCAACTATATACTAACAACTCAGTTAAGAGGGGACCAATAAAACTTGAGAGAGCAAACGACAAAATTAGGGTTACCTCCAATATGCTAATAGACTCGATCGAAGTAATAAGGCATAAAATTAGACACTCCTTATCTATCAGTTACAGTAGCTTGAATAAAGAATCGACATAGCTGCAAAAACCATAAACCTAAAGGTCTAATAGTCACCACTCTCTGTTGTACAACCAAATTTTTATCTCAAGAGGCATATCTCTAATCCTCTTTCTACAACTCCATTTATTGAACTCCATTATATTCGTTATGGATTGATATCGGAGTTGAAATCTTCTACTTGCCTAGCTTAAATTCTCAATAATAAAATCGTAGTGTCAAGAGATACCAAAAGATTGATTTCAAAGGCAGCCTTGTATTGGAAAGTGGAAGGGGCGCAAACTATTGCATGATGGAGGGAATTTTGGAGGAAGTTAAAAGAGATAAGAACGAAGATAGAAAAAGCACTAAGTTTAAATTTAAATTGAAAATTTCAAGGACACAACACGCAGTAACATAATTAGTTATTCTATGGTAACCAATTACCAATCTACCATTAGCAAAAAATTAAGGCAAGATCAAAAAATTTAAAATTGAGAAAATTACATGAAACTACTATGAAAACTGAAGTATCAAGCACCATAAAAATACATATGGCAGACTTAGTGGGCTTGCTAATCATGATGGAAAATTCATCCAATTTTCAGAGTTTAATTTTGTGTATGTTTTGTATTCGAAAAGATACAACAAACTTTTTTAGTGTAATTGGTTGTGATTGTTGTCTTTGTTTTAAGAGACCCGGGTTCGAATCCTCATACTGATATTTTTTATATGAGATAAATAATTAATTGTAAAGACAAAAATATCCTTCCTACTTTCACTCTCGTTGCAGGAAATTTAAAATGAAGAAAAGTTCACAAAACTCTACCATATATTATTGGAGGATAGTTCTCTTGATTATGAGTTAAGAGTATCAAAATACTAATTATATAGGTTATTCAATCTCTCATAAACTATTTTGCAACATTTTATTGATTATTACCTGAGTTGGTAAGTGAGTTAATTAATTTTATATGAATGACCAAGTGTACTTGGAAGCAATTTTAGTAAGTTTTACTATGTGTTAACCTTGAAATTTTGATTACGTATACATTTTTTATTCTCGCTAATTAATTACTATCATTGTCCCACCGCAAAGTGCGGGCTAACTATCTAGTTAGAGTTAAAGGTGCTTCTTATATATTTGTACTTTAGTCATTCTAGGGGTCGGATACTATGCCTACCCCCAAAAGGGTCTGATTTTTGACACCCCCTTTCTCATTGGTCAGTTTTTTTCTCAATCATTTGACAATAATTAATTACATTTGTTTTTTGTATTTTTTCATAATCTTGTAATTTGGGAAAGTTCTCAATAATAATTAAAAACTAATTGGGAAGGAGCAATCTTGTTGGATGGGGAAAGCGTCGATTGCTCTTCCAAGTTCAATATTCCCCATATTTTCTCCAAATAGCAATCCGACTCTCTACTCTGCAAAACTCGACGACGATCGGAAATATCGGGCAGCGTCGCAGAGGGATCGCCTCCGACCCGCCTGGTGGGTTGCTCGTCGGAGGAGGAAGACACGCAGGGGATATCCCCGCCGCCCTTACAACAGGTCCAACCATCCATGTTGTCGGCCGTCGGCCGTCCTCCGTCTTCCATCCCAAACATCACCTTCCAACGACTTCCTCTTATCCACGGCATGCACTTGATCTTTTCCTGTTGACCACCGTCCTTCCACGGTAGAGATTCGATCAACCCTAAGTGGCGGCTACAGGATCTGAAGGTGAGGGTGGTACCACTAGGCGGCAGAGGAAACGCACCAATGGAGTGGTACATGTACCAGTGGAGTGGTACGTGTACCAGTGGAGTGATACTAGTAACCATATGTCCTGTTTAGGCTTAAAAAAATTGTGAAGACTTTATGTTTGTTCACATTCGAAGGATAATTTATTGCTTTTGGCATTGTTGTTGGCGTTTCCCTGATTTTGCTACCTCAGCTACCTCAACTAAGAAATACATCGTCATGGAAATATTGTGGTCTCCACCGCTTTTGAAGTTTGGAATTGATTTTATTATTTTTCTTTTGTCGTAATTATTGGTTAACTTCTTTCAATGTCATGGAAATATCTTTGCCGACGAGTACTGACTTAGAAATGGTCTTCGCACAACTTCAGCGGTAATCATACTACTTCAGTGGTACAATATACCACTGAACTTGTACTATACCACTATACTGGTATACATATCAATTAACTGGTACTTATACCACTATACTGGTACTTATACCACTGAACTGGTACTAATTAAGACTGTCCTCAATATACCAATACTCATACTTACTTGATCATGAAATATAATTCTGGCACAAGCAACACAATAAACATATCAATCAGTCAACAAAATAGGAACTTTCCATTAGTAGCCAAAAACTGTGTTCCAAAATGGGTTGCAAAATCAGGGAAATGCCAACAACAATGCCAAAAGCAATAAATTATCCTTCGAATGTGAACAAACATAAAGTCTTCACAATTTTTTTAAGCCTAAACAGGACATATGGTTACTACTATCACTCCACTGGTACACGTATCACTCCACTGGTACACGTATCACTCCACTGGTACACGTATCACTCCACTGGTACACGTACCACTCCACTGGTACACGTACCACTCCACTGGTACACGTACCAGTCCACTGGTGCGTTTCCTCTGCCGCCTAGTGGTACCACCCTCACCTTCAGATCCTGTCGCCGCCACTTAGGGTTGATCGAATCTCTACCGTGGAAGGACGGTGGTCAACAGGAAAAGATCAAGTGCATGCCGTGGATAAGAGGAAGTCGTTGGAAGGTGATGTTTGGGATGGAAGACGGAGGATGGACGACGGCCGACAACATGGATGGTTGGACCTGTTGTAAGGGCGTCGGGGATATCCCTTGCGTGTCTTCCTCCTCCGACGAGCAACCCACCAGGCGAGTCGGAGGCGATCCCACTGCGACGCTGCCCGATGTTTGGGATGGAAGACGGAGGACGGCCGACAACATGGATGGTTGGACCGGTTGTAAGGGCGGCAGGGATATCCCCTGCGTGTCTTCCTCCTCCGACGAGCAACCCACCATGCGATCCCAGGGAGAGAGGAAGAGATGTCTGGGAAAGATAAAAGGGGGAGAGAAAATTCTTACTACTTTTGAATTGGCAGGGAAACCAAAAGGCCAATTAATGCCCTCGATTACCGTCCCAGTTTCCCTAATTAATATGGGTCGGACAACTAAAATATGTAATTAATACCTAATTATCGTCTTTAATTTTCTCACCATTGGATTACTACTAATGGACATCAACGACTACTAAGATGGGTGTCAAAAATCAGACCCCTCTAAAGGGGTAGTCATGCTAACCGATCCCGTCATTCTATTAAAATTATCAAGAAGTCAAACAATAAGCCTAAAGCGAGTTCTTGATCAAATCACTAATTAATTACTATCATTGTCCCGCCGCAAAGCGCGGGCTAACTATCTAGTTAGATTTAAAGGTGCTTCTTATATATTTGTACTTTAGTCATTCTATTAAAATTATCAAGAAGTCAAACAATAAGCCTAAAGCGAGTTCTTGATCAAATCACTAATCCTATCCATTCTATTATTCTTCAAACCCTAAATTTGTTCTCAATCTTCATCAATTCTCTTCTCAAATCCATATATCTCATATTGAGTTTCTATCATATTTTGTCTTAGCTTTTGAACAGGTACCCATCAATGCTCAATGTTGGGAACGGATTACAATGCTGCAATGTGAGATGGAGATTGCTTGATCAGATTGACAAAGAAAAGAAGTCAAAACGACAACTTTACATGCGCTTTTAAGATATGGGAGTAGTAGTACTTGTTTGTGCCATCTAGCTCAGGACACGAACAATGATATTTGTTGGTGCGGGGTTGACTCACAATCTGTTCGTCTGATCTCGTCGGGAGGGAAGATACCTGTGAAAGAGTCGGGGTTGCCCCCCGGATTAAGTTCCGACGATCAAGTCAGTCTATCTTTTGGGTGAAAGTTGAGAGAAT